CTTCGAGGGTGCCCTCTAGGGGCTATCGTGGGGCGTTTAGGCGATTTCAGACCCTCTTGGATCATATACTTGGCTCCAACAAGAGTTTCCTTGGAAACTCGCAAGAGGAATAATATGTATGTAAACCCGTCGGCAAGATGAAAAGTCGCGCGCGCGTGCTCAGCGTTCGCACGCACGCGATCCCAAGACGTCCCATGGCCACAACATGCTTCCAGGAATGCCTCAGGCCACGGACGATAACGTCCAGAGGACCCAGGATGATGCCACCCCAACGCGATCCCGCCATGGATTCTGGACCGTCTCAGGCCGACTCGCAGATGACGAAACACATGAGCAACGCGTGACGCCGAGATGGCCCGATGGCAACAAGATGGATCCAAGCGCGCCCAGGGTGGCCTCATAATGACCACGCGATGGTTGCGTGATCCAAACATGACCGGGATATGATCTCAAGATGACCTCAAGACGACCCCAACACGGCAATAATACTGCAACTTATGAGCCCCATCTTACTTCGAGCCGATCCCAGCATGGTGGGATCCGTGAACGGCCCGGGATTTTGGTCCACCCCAGTTTTAATGGGTGGGATTTTGATCGTCCTGAACTAAACTTATTATATTAAAGCGGAATAAGCCAGGCGGGATCCCGCCCGGACCACGGAGGAAGACAACATTGCTAGGCTTCTACGGGGGTAGGGGGTTCGGAAGGGGCGTCGTTTACTTCCGCTGACATTGGCAAGCCTTCCGGCGGCCTTCCCCCGTCTTCCGCCTCGTTTTACTTCCGTCGACTTCCGCCGGCCAGCGTCGTGATGAAAATTCCAGGAACTTTCATTGGGGCGATGTAGTGACCTGTGGCCCATCCCGCCACCGAGCCTGGTCAGCTGGTCAGAGTCCTCACGGGTCCTTCTTGGGGTCTCTTCGGAGGGCTCTCGGGGGCTTTTGGAAGCAGCTGTGAGGCCGCTTGGGAGCCTCCTGGGAGCCTCCTGGGGGCGTCTTGTGCCTTCCTGGGGGCCTTTCGGGGGCCTCTGCGCACCTCTTGAGGGCCTCTTGGGAGCCTCTTCGGGCCTCCCGCGAGCCTCTGGGGGCGGCGAGCTCGACATGTCAGTTCGTGTTCGCCCTTTGGGGCTCCTTTTGGGACGTTCTGGGGGCCCTTTTCGACTGTCTTGGAGCCCGCTTGGGCCGTCTTGCAGGCCTCTGTGGCCGTTTTTGCGCCTTTGTGGCGGCCTCGTAGACTGTCTTGGGGAGGGCTTTGGGGCCTCTTGGGCCGTCTTCGAGCGTCGGTAAGCCGATAACGAGGAACGCGAATATCATGCAAACAAATACGCCAATTTTGCGATTCTTGCCTCTTGGGGCTCTCTTGGGAGTGCTGATGCTCTTGGAGCGTCTTGGAGACGTCTTGGGCCTTTTGGAGGCCGTCTTGGGCGTCTTGGAGCGATCTTTTGGGGGACTCTGGGCCCTCTTGGATTCTCTTGCGCCTGAGTTGCCGAAGGAGGGCCGACTTCGCTCGAAGGCACCACGGAAAGGGCAGGGGGGGGGACCGAATTCTGACCAGGGACACCCGCCTGAACCCCCACCCAATGACCCCCCTCAGGACCCCCCCCTTGCTCCCCCCAGGACCGCCCCCCACCGGGAGGGGAAGGGATCAATGGGAAAGGGATTCTTTTTGGCTTCATCACGACTTCGATTGCGACCTGTCTTTATTCACCTCTGGTTGACGAGCTCGGCGCGCCGACGAGGGTCTCGGGGAAGTCTCCGGGAATGGACGAGCAAGTCGAATGAAAATCGTGTTTGAGGACGGCACGGGGACGACAGACTGCCCCTCACATGCGCCGACAGGGCTGGCAGCTTTCTTCAATACGTGGATTCCCAGACGTCTCCGCCCATTGCCCAGGACCGGGTTTTGGTCGCCGAGTGGTTTTGGACGGTTCCCTGGCCCGGCGAGGGCCCTTCAGAGGCTTAACACGGCGAACAATTTGCCGCCGTGTCTTTCTCACGATGCGAGCATGTTTTAGGGGAGCGAATAATCACGTAAACACAACAGCTCGGAGGTCCGCGCGGATATGTTTGGGAGGAGGAGGAGGAGGAGGAGGAGGAGGAGGAGGAGGAGGAGGAGGAGGAGGAGGAGGAGGAGGAGGAGGAGGAGGAGGACCAGTGTAAACCCAAGAGTCATCAACGATGTTGGGTGGAGGATCCAGCGTCCAGGACGCCGCCGCCGCCGCCGCTCGCCACCGCCTCGGCAGGCCGCGTGGGTCGCGCCGCCGCTGCCCCGGCGGCGCTCCGCGGGCGCCTGCGCCTGCGCGTGTGCAGGCCGGCCACGTGGCGAGCCGGCCGGCCAGGGTCCATGTCGATGTCCTTAAGTCGGGCCTGTCCCTTTGCAAGGGGCATATACAATTTTTGATCCGCGGGTCGAGAGCGAGCCTCTTCGGGTCGAAGCTCAGCGGGCCGCGCACAGCTTTAATTGACAGAGGGGGGAAGGCAGAAGGAGGGGCCTCACGTCAAGGCCAAGAGAGGACAAAGCCCCCAGGGGGAATATACAAGAATAGTCGCAAAGTCGTACGAACATAGTCGGGGTCCAGGTCGATATTCGAAGAGGAAACAGCGCCGTGAACATAAATTTTTGGCGCTCCGCGCGGATTTTTTGGATCCGCGCTGGGCCCGCCCTGCGGCGCCTCCGGCGCCGCCCCTGGCGCGCTCCGCGCGCCAGGGAGGGGGGCCCAGCGCAGATCCAAGACATCCGCGCGGAGCGCCAAAAGCTTATGTTTATTGCGTTTTTTCTTCTTCTAGATATCTGCATCGATCTCGGCCCGTGACCTCCTCGCGCCGTGGCAAGAGGCACATCGGACGTCTGGTAATCATTTTCGGCCTCTGGGGGCCCTCGCCGGGCCTAGGGGCCGTCACGGGGAAGGGGTCTAGACCTCTCAGGGTCGACGCTGTAAACAGCAAAGCTTATGATGTTCCAGCCTACTATAGCCTTGACCGCCAGAAAGAATTTCGAGCACCACGAAAGTACAGAAGCTGGAGGGTTTCCACGTGTCGAGCCCTGGCAGTCGATCTGGGTGCTCGAAGTTATTTCTGGGAGATGGTCCTCAAGCACGATGGGCGCAACGTAAAGCAAAGTCTCGGAGTTCTGGGCCGTTCGCCGCCCCTCGGCGCCACGGCACGGTTCGCCTCAACGACTCGGTCGCTCCTGGGGAGGCCTGGCGAGTGCAGTCGGATCGAGGCATAAGATCTGGGTCGGTTCGTGGATGGTGCCCCAGTGTCGGCTGTTGCTAGAAGCGTCCCTGGCCCAAGGCGCCCCCAGCTTTTCGCTCCATTTTGGAGCCCCTGGGGCCCCCTGGGCCTCGTGATGGGGCGCCCTGGAGACGTTCTGGGCCACCCCGAGGATCCTGGGGTACCCTGGGCCACAGGGGTACTTCTTGCAACCGCCCGACAGTGTTTTTCGTGCTGGTTGAATGCTTCTGCGCATCCCGGGAAAGGGCACCCTCGGCTGTGCTGCGTGCCTGGGCCGACGGAGGGCCTCATTGTTCTCGAGGGATGCTCTTCCGGCCTACAGTTGGGGCGTTGGCCTAAGGAACCCTAAAATAAGGAACGAGGCCCTTTTTTTCCATAAAGTCAAGCTTCGATTTCCGATCGAAAACAGAAGGAACACCTGAGGCAAGCTGTGAAACACTTAAGGAACGCGGAGCCCCTCCCCAACCAAAAGGGTTCCTTCTTCAGGACCCCGACTGTAGGTCCGACTGCAGCGGCGTCGGTATCTTTTCCTCCACCTGTGTCACAGGGCTGGACCGAAGGGCTGTTTTGCTGGACTTCGGCCGTCTTTTGTTATTCGTTTTGGCAGGGAGGCACAGGAAAACAAGGAGAGCAAAACCAAGCACAACACGAAAACCACACGAAAAAAGTAACGCTTAGGTCCAGCCCTGCTGTGTCGTTTTCGCTCCGACAGTCCAGCGATGCGGTGCGGCCTGGTGCCTGCACGAGGCTGGCGTCGTGCAGCCCTGGCGCAGCCGATTCGACCCGATCTCGGCTCCGTGCCGAGGTTGGCCAGCGCGCGCTCCGAGGCGAGCCGACTTGCCGATTCGTTGGTGGCAGATCCCGCTGGCAGCCTTTGTCATTTTGCGCTCTCTGGGCCAGTTTTGGGCCCCATGGCCACTCATATGCGTCGGGTCGGGCGGATGGAGGGGATCGGGAAGGGTGTGTGTGTGTGTGTGTGTGTGTGTGTGTGTGTGTGTGTGTGTGTGTGTGTGTGTGTGTGTGTCTGCGTCTGTGTCTGTGTCTGTGTCTGTGTCTGTGTCTGTGTTTGTGTCTGTGTGTGTGTGTCTTCCCCCGTGCATTGCGGCTTAATTCGCAATTGTTCGTCCACCCTGTGCTCTTCCGCCAGCGCAGTCACTCTGCCTAGCCGCCGACGCAAACAAAAAGGTTCTGTGTGTGTGTGTGTGTGTGTGTGAGATCGGCTGCATGCAGCGGGGTTCGATTCCGCCGCCAGGCGCTTTTCCAGATACGCTGGCACCTCACGCGCCCAGGGGGCGCTGGGAAGATCGGCTGCGTGAGCTGGTTCTCTGATCCCGGGACGGAGAGCTGGCCCCCTCGGGGGGTGGACAAAACGCCTCGGGGGGGGGGCATGTCTTGAAGCGGCTGGGGCCTGCGGGAGCTCGTGTGCAGGCGGCAACCCGTGGCGCGAGGACCCCGATGCGGCGCTGGAGGAGGCCCGCAGGCTGCAGGCCTCACACATGGGGCCCGAACAGAAAGGGGTCGGTCGATGGCGCCGCATCGCTGGGTGCAGCGGCGGTGCCGCCCGGTGCGGAGCCCGACTTTGTCCACGCGGACGGTGCTGGTGACCCTCGCCGAGGCATCGGCGAGGCATCGGCGAGGCACTGGCGACGCATCGGCGACGCATCGGCGACGCATCGGCGGCGCATCGGCGATGCGGCGCGATCCTCCGGGCCCGTCTGTCGCGACCCCATCTTGGGAGGCCTCCACAGGCGCACCAGCGCCCAGTGGGCCATGCTGCAGGCCGAGGTTCGAGCGGGACGCAAGGGGAGGGGGCCTGGGGGTCGGGTCAGGTCGGACGTGTCCCCCATACAGGAGGAAAGTTTAAGATGTCGACAAAATGGTCTGGGGACGATTTTCCTGATATTTTTGTTCATTTTCGGGAGTATGTTTTGGATAAAAGAACGCTACTAACAGCTGCCCGTAGGAGGACATGCCCGACCTGAGGATATGGGAGGAGACGCTCCAAGAGGCCTCCACTGGGGGACCCTTCCTCTGCGTGCTGCCCACTTCCCTGATCGAGGCAATTCCTCTGGGCATCGTTTCGGGATGGGCTGGTGGGGTTACTTTTTTTGGTCGCGGCCGCGAGACAAGGGTCAGGCGGCAAAAGCAAAGTCCGGGGCACGAAAAAGGCTAATTAGCTACAACAGGCACAGGCCGGCCGGCCCGCTCACAAAGCAGCCGCGAAGCTGAAGGGGAGCTGACGGCAGGGGTATCCTGAGAGCTCGAGCACGTGCACAGACAAAATGTCATGGAATTCGGTGCCTGCCGCAGTATGAGACGTGAACCAGGATAACCAAGTCCGTCAATCTGAGTGGGGGCAAGTGGGAGGCCAGTGGAGTGAGTCGCCGGTGGGGCGCCAGGCTCCAAACGCCATGACGACGTGAGCTAGCCAAGGGGACTGAGCTGTCGGAAACCGTGATGCCACGCAACTGGGAAAAGCTGATGGTGAGCCTGGGGTGCTGTAGCTGCTGCGGAAGGCTGAACCACTCCGTGGCGATACCAACACCCGTCAGACCACCCCATAGTGCAAGGGGGAACCAAGCGACTGTGAGCCACGCAGTGCGTGCCGGCACGGCGTCAGGCCTTTGAGTGAGGGGGGGAAGACCAGCTGGCGTGGTGAGCATCGCCAGCGGGGAAGAGTAAGGGGAGCTGCGCTGGTGGTAGTGCTGCCTTCTGAAGGACGCCAAACTGAACCGGGGACAAGCATATCCCTAAGTGAACAGACCTGGCTGCACCTCCCGAGGCACGTGGCGCCAGTGCGAGCAAGGCGTACCGATGCCATTCGGCGATGCGCCTGGGGGAAGCTGCGTTGTGGCAGACACGAGAGCCAACGGACGCCATGTCCTGACCCTGTCCGCCTCTTGGCACTTCCACCCAAGACTCAGGAAACGCCAACACACACCACGGGAGCCTCCAGGGTCGCAGCTAACAGCCGCTGAAAGGGATAAGCCATACCACGGACAGCGAGGGACACGGGCGGCCCAGGGAGGGGGGGGGGGGCAACAACACCGGCGTCTGTCGGTACGCCTGGCGTGCCCCGGGGCCAAGGGCGGGGGACACCCGCCAGGCCCGAGAGGGGAGAGGCGAGGGGGAGCAACGCCCCTCCCCTCGGCCTGGCCCCGAACCCGTGGGTCAGGGGACATGGCCATTCAATTGGCTGCACTGGTGGTAGTGCTGCCGCCTGAAGTACGCCAAACTGAACCAGGGACAACATATCCTCAAGTATGCAGAGCAGGCTGTACCTTCCGGGGCACGTGGCGCATGTACCAGCAAAGTGTAACGTTGCCATTGGGTGAGCGACCTGGGGGGAGCTGCGCTGGGGCAGACACGAGAGCCGACGGATGCCATGTCCCGACCTGCCCGCAGCTTGCGCACATCCTCGCAAGACTCGGGTACGTCCACCACCACGCACCACGTGGGCCTCCAGGGTCGCAGCTAACCGCCGCTGAAAGTGGGGAGTCTGGCCACGACCAGCGAGGGACAAGGGCGGCCCTGGGGAGGGGGGGGCAACAACACCGGCGTCTGTCGGTACGCCTGGCGAGCCCCGGGGCCAAGGGCGGGGGGCACCCGCCTGGCCCGAGAGAGGAGAGGCAAGGGGAAGCAACGCCCCGCCCCTCCACCGGGCCCCCAACCCGTGGGTCAGGGGACATGGTCATTCTCTTGGGTCCTCCAGGGTCGCAGCTAACCGCCGCTCAAGAGCAAATAGTATCGATTGTGGTCCTCCAGGGTCGCAGCTAACCGCAGCTGATGTTTGTGAGTCTGTAGTGTGACAAAGCTGTGACCAGGCTAGGTCGCGCCCACCGCCCGGCAGGCGGGGGGGATGCTGTGGCCCACTTCCTGCCCAGGGGCAGGAGGTGGGCCACAGCAGCCCCCCCGCCTGCCTGGCGGCGAGAAGTTGCTCGCCTCAGTCATCTTGTGTAAGATCAGTGTGTCATGGCACTTCCAGCCTCCGCCACACGCGCTGATCCCAGCGCAGTAGCTGATGACGTCTGCCTCAAACTTGGCCCCTCGCATCTCGCTGTGGAGCGACAGAGCCTGCACCCCCTTCCCAACCTTCCCACACGCGCCGATCTCGGCATGTAGCTGACAGCGTCTGGCTGCAGCGTCGTCTTCCACATCTCGCTGCGCAGCGACACAGCCCGCTGCCACTGCTCGCCTGTCCCACACGCGCATATTGCAGCGTTGTAGCTCACTACGTCGGGCTCCCACGTCGCGTCCCGTATCTATCGCAGCAGCGACATACCCGTCGCCACTGCCGCCTTTCTCGCACGCCCGACCCCAGCGTTGTAGCTGATTATGTAGCTGATCGTGTTACGCGAAGCGTCTAGAAGCTTTATTACTCGCCAACAGAAATCCGCCCGCAGGAGAACATGCCCGGCCTTGGGATCTCGGGGGAGTTGCGAGATCTGCTGCGTGTGCAGTGGGCCTCGGCCCGGCCGCGGAGCGTCTCTCGTCGACGCGTGGGCCAGGAACGTCGGCTGTGCGTTGTGGAGGACGACAATCACTGGAGAGGAAGCATGTTTCGAAGGAAAAACACATAAACACAAACTTTTGGCGCTCCGCGCGGATGTCTTGGATCCGCGCTAGACCCCCCCTGGCGGCGCCTCCGGCGCCGCCCCTGGCGCGCGGAGCGCGCCACGGAGGGGGGTCCGGCGCGGATCCAAGAAATCCGTGGTGAGCGCAAAAAATTTAAGTTTACGGCGTTTTTTCTGCTCCTAATGTTACCAAATAGTTTCCGGATGTCGGAAACATTTTTCAAATATGCTTTATACATGTAAAACACATGCTTTTAGGATTTCCAGAACATGTTGAACATTCAAAGCTCATTCCTAATTCAATGATCGGATTGTTAGGGTGTCCATTGTCATGGCATCCACCGGCCATGTGCGTGAGTTGAATCGCGACGTCCCCCTTGCTGCCTCCCTGCCCACCTGCGTGTCACGCCATACCCTAAGATCCGACGTCGCGGAACATGCAGCATCGTAGAGCAGCTCGGCCGGAGCCCTGGGCCCCATTTTTCTGCTGCATTTTTCCGAGCCGGATCGATCCGTGAGGGTCCCAGGGCCAGAAGCGAGGCAAAATCGCATGTGGTGCAAATCTGTGACGCCAGGATCTCAAGGTTAGCGCTGCCGTCGATGTGCCGAAACACGGCGCGGCTCAGCCGCGCGCCTCGCTCCAGAGGTGGACGCCGCGGGGGCCGAGGCGCCGCCAGGGTTGTTCTGCGATCGCGCCGCGGACGTGCTCGCGGCGAGCGCACTGGACAGGCTGCGGCCCTTCACCGTCCCCGCGGAGTACACCGACATCCCGCCCCTGAGGGGCGCCGAGGACTCCGGAGGGCTGGAAAGTGGCAGTGGGGTATCATTCAATAGTTCAGAGGAGGGAAAGGTACCGACACCGCCGCCCCTGCCTCGTTTTTGCCTTTCCAGGCCTCCTGGCAGGCCCTCGTCGCCACGACCCGAGATTCTGGTCAGAACGTGCCCCGGGAGAGGTCCGGGCAGTAGCGGCATCGGTATCTCTGGCCATCCGCACGAAAGCTGCTACGCTACGCTACTCTGGATCGGCTCAGAGGCCGTGTCCTGCCACAGGCCACGGGGGATAAGGTAAATCTGGTAGACAGCTCGCCTTAGAGTAGCGCCAGCAGGCCCTCAATCCTTCGACTGCGCCTGAAACAAATCAGTGCTGTTGCCACTCAGACAGCACGCGGGTGTCTGCAAAAGCTGCACGTTTGTCGTAAAGTACTGGTCGAAGCTTGCACCCCTTGCTGGGCGCGGGCGCCAAGGCCTGGCCACTTGGCGCGTCGAAGCTGGGGGCGGAGGACGAGGAGGAGGAGGATGAGAAGGAGGAGGAGGAGGAGGAGGAGGAGGAGGAGGAAGAGGAGGAGGAGGAGGGAGGAGGGAGGAGCAGAGGAGGCAAAAGGAGGCAGGAGGAAGAGGAAGGAGATGGGCTAGGAGGAGGAGGGAGGAGGAGGGAGGAGGAGAGAGGAGGAAGGAGGAGGAGGAGGAGGAGGAGAGGAGGCAGGAGGAAGGAGGGAGAGGAGGATGATGATGATGATGATGATGATGGATGAGATGAAGGAGAGGAGGAGGAGGAGAGAGGAGGGAAGAGGAGGAGGATGAGGAGGAGAGGAGGAGAGGAGGAGAGGACAGGAGGGAGAGGAGGAGGAGGAGGAGGGAGGAGGAGAAGAGGAGGAGGAGGAGGAGGAGGAGGAGGCAGGAGGAGGAGGAGGAGGAGGAGGTGGAGGAGGAGGAGGAGGAGGAGGAGTTGGAGGAGGAGGAGGAGGTGAAGGAGTTGGAGGAGGAGGAGGAGGAGGAGGAGGAGGAGGAGGAGGAGGAGGCGGCCCCTGTCCATCGATGCAGGGGCGCGCTGAACATTAACTGTGTGCACTCGGATTTCTGTGCAGTCTTTCGGCGGCCAGCTCGAGGGGAATGTGCAAGGCTCGGAAGTGCCCCGGCCTTCTGCGCAGCTGTTGAAGCTCACCGAGCGCGGTCCACTACTCGCAAAGTGCCTACTTGCAACGTCCGAAAAATGCACACGTCTGCGAATAGTTACTTTGCGAGTAGTTACTTTGCGAGTCGTGGAACGCGCTTGTCCAGAAGCCTTCCCCGAAGACACAAGCATCTCTGAGAAGGCCGGGGGGGGCTCCTGAGGCGCCCCGCGTCCCTCTGAGAAGGCCGTCTCCTTCTCGCTTCTCTCCCTCCCCTCGTCTCGCCAGCCGCCGAGTTTTGTCTTGCCCGCGAGGGCAGCCTGAACATCACGCGATCGAGGGTTGCACCTCGTGTCGGCCACACGCAGGAGGGACCTCTCGATGGGGTGTCCTTGTGAGCGCGGCTTTCAGGGAGCGCGTTGGGGGGGAGGGCATTGCTTGAGCACGCAAGTTTTAGATCGGGCCTGTCCCTCTACAGGAGATCTATTCAGAAATAGTCAAACAATAATCTGGGGACGATGTTTGGACTATTTTTGATCGTTTCTGGTGTATAATTTGAACTTTTTTTTATATTTCGTCCGAAACCCGCCTGTATGGGGGACATGCCCGACCAAGCGCAAGCCGCCGCAGCCGCATCGCAGGCAACGGCCGGCAGTCCGCGCACCAACGATCACTGTTGCCCAGGGCCGCCTACTAGGGCCTAGGGCCTTAGCTGTCCTCTTGCGCACGCTGCCAGCCGTGGGGGTGGTGGCCCGTACTTAGCTGATTGCCCAGCACGTCGGAGCGGGGGGCCGAGCGACGCGCTCAAGAACATTGCGCTCACCGAGCGCGTTCCAGTGCTCGCGGAGTGTCTACTCGCAAGCGTCTACACAGCAGCTGCTGCTCGAGGGAGCGGAGCCTGCTTGCCTCGCTGCTACGTATCCAGGCCGTTTGCGAGTAGCTATTTTGCGAGTAGTGGAACGCGCTTGTCTACTTGCATAATCGTGCACTCGGATCTCCTCGGTCGCCGATGGACCTTCTCCCCACGTTCCTTCCGGTCGCGCGAAGCGCGATGGGGTGCGGGGAGGGTTCGACGTTGATCCAAGACATGCGAACGACGTTCTGGCCTCTTTCCCACGCTCGACGGTAAGGACTGCCCGTACGAGAAGACGAGATGTGTGGATCGAGATTGCAGTCCGCACGAGAAGACGACATCGTTTGATCGAGATCATTGCCGCGTGCCTCCAAGGAGTCCTGGTGGACCTTCCGACTAAACATTCGTGCCGCGTCGGCGCGGCAGCGGTCCCAGCGCGGGCAGTCAGGGATGTGGCCCGGGATCGGCCGACGTCGAGCGATTTGCGCTCGCGGGAAGCTGCGATCGTTCGTGGTCGAGCGGTCCGCGCGGTGTCGGAAACCGACGCCCGCGCCATGTATAGAAGAGCAGACAAGCGTAAGCTCTCGGAGGTCCGCGCCGATTTCTTGGGTCGATGCTGGACTCCGCTGGCGGCGCTTCTGGCGCTGCCCCTGGCGCGTTCCGCGCGCCAGCGGAGGGGTCCGTCCAGCGCCGACTCCAGAAATCGGGCAGATCTTTGACAGCTCGTACTCCATAGAGGTCTTAGCTCTTCTGACGTCATCGCGATGTGAATCAGTCGTATGTTTTGTGTGCTTCTGCTCCGGCACATCATACACAACCGGTATTTTTGCGGCCAGAAAACAGCGCTTGGTTTGATTTGGCGTTCTTTGTGACAGCACATTGGCCATGTGTGACATTTATGTATGTATGTATATATGTATATATATATGTGTGTGCACGGAATACGATGTTATTTCATGCTCTGCTATGCTATACATATTGTCATTTATTCTTTGATGAGATACGCTATGCTGTATTACGTTATAACCATTTGTATTGTATTGCATTCGATTGCATTGTCATGTCTTTTCATCGTATATCCTACCACATTGTATTATACTATACGACATGATATTACATTGTATTGCCCAGTAGCTCATATGATTATCAAATCATGTTACAGGGTATTGTATAATATTATGTCATATGGTAGTATTTCAGTTTATTTTATTTTACATTGTAGTACATGGCTTCGTATCACAGCATGATCTATTACATCATATGTAAGTGTAATGAAATACATTGTATGGTATCATATCATGTTACATTATCTTACAGTCGATTGTATGATATTAGTTTTTTTTTCCGATATTATGTATATATAGTGTAATTAGTTGTTGTATTACATTGTGTTATGTCATGCTATATCCCTTACCCAATATTTTTTCGATCGTACTCCATATAGCTTATAAGTTTTAGCATACCATGCCATCTTATAACATACCATTTTGAATTATGTTGTATGAACACATAATCTATTCTTTCATATCCTATCATATTATACTGTGTTGCATGTTAGCATTGCCTATTGCATCGTATAAAACGTTATATGGTATTCTAGCATGCTGTACATTCTATTTTCCAGCCGCATATTATGTTATCATATATTAAGACACAGCATTGTATATTATATGCGTTAGATTAAAACATGTGATCAGATATGATTTTGTATTATAGTATTCAATATATTCCTATTCTTCTTAATAGGGCTGGGGACCCCGGAGAAAACACCCTCCCCCCCTTACGAATTTGGCCCACCCCGGGCCTTTCGGGCAGCCCCCAGACGACCTGGGAGGACCTCACGAGAGCCCGAAGACGGGCCCAGAGGGCACGACGTTCCGGCGCGCTCCTGAAACGACCCGAGAGAGTCCCAAGACTGTCGACGACGACCCCAACGGAGGTGTCATACCCCAAAGATCGCTCCAAAACGTTCCAAGAGGCCTCCAGCAGCACTCCCAAGAGGGCTCCAAGAGGCAAACGTCATAGATTTTCCGTGGGTTAGTGGGGGATTTGGGAGTTCTCGTCTTTTCGGTTTTCCGACGCTACACGGCGGCCCACGAGGCCCCCAATATCGCCCTAAGATGGCCTAACAGACCTCCAAGAGGGCCCCAAACTGGCCCAAGGGGGCCCTGGGACAGTCCCGACGGCCCCAGGAGGCCCCAGGAGGCCCCCAAGAGGCCCCGAAGAGGCCCCCAGAGGCCACCAAGAGGCCCCCAGGAAGCCCCCAGAGGTTCTCAAGAGTCCCACCGCAAGGATCCCACAGAAGTGCGAGCTCGCTCCAAGACGTCCCAAGAGGCCTCCCAGAGCAGCCTCCCAGTCCTCCCAAGACGTCCCACGAGGCAACATAAATTGATTTTCCGTTGGTTAGTGGGGGATTTCCCTTTTCGGCTCCCCGACGCTCCAAGACGGCCCACGAGGCCCCCAAGATCACCTTAAGACGGCCCGACAGACCTCCAAGAGGGCCCCAAACTGGTTCAAGAGGCCCACAGACAGTCCCGACAGGGCACCAGGAGGCCCCAGGAGGTTCCCAAGAGGCCCCCCCAAGAGGCCCTCAGGAAGCCCTAAGAGGCCCCCAAGAATCCCAAAAGATTCCGCAATGACCCCAAGAAGTTCGAAAACGCCCGAAAAGGTCCCCAAGACAGGCCCAAAGCAGGCCAGGAGCCCGAACATGACCCCACGACAGCGCAACAGAGCCAATACGCGCCCCAAGAGGGCCCCAAGCCATAACGGGACTGCACCATGTCCCACAGAGGCCCTCAGATGGCTCTGGGAGGCGTGGCGTTAACAATCTGAACGCGAGGCCTCCCAAGAGCGCACTGCCGCGCAAAGCAACTTCAGCGTCGACCCCCGCTGCGACACGGTCCCGAGGTCTCCAAGGCCCTCACACGGCTTCTCCCAGAGTCCCTAAGGCACGGTCATTGGTGAGCCCAGGTCGCCGTTCCACATTCTGCCGTGTTCTCCATGCAGTCTCGCACCCAAGTCTTTCGGCACTCGCGAGCTCTTCACTGTGTTTTTGGCCCCCCCCCCACCCCTGTGTGGCCACGACCGCGTACATGTATATAGACATGGAAATGTGCACATGTAGAATGGCCCAATTAGGCATGATACATATGATTGCGCAAGCGTGGATATATACGCGTATATCTATGTATATACGTATTGCATCGATCTGTTCACACACGCATATGCGTATACACATATATGTATATGTATATGTATATGTCGGACTGTCTGTCTGTCTGTCTGCCTGTCTGCCTGTCTGCCTGCCTGCCTGTATGTATGTATGCATGTATGTCTGTCTGTCTGTCTGTCTGTCTGTCTGTCTGTCTGTCTGTATGTATGTATGTATGCATGCATGCATGTATGTATGCATGCATGCATGCATGCATGTATGTATGTATGTATGTATGTATGTATACATTCTGCATGTATGCATGTATGTATGTATGTAAGTATGTATGTATGCATGTATGTATGTATGTATGCATGCATGCACGCACGCATGCATGTATATGTATGTATGTATGTATGTATGTATGTATGTATGTATGTATGTATGTATGTACGTCTGCATGTATTTATGTAATGTATGTAATGTATGTATGTATGTATGTATGTATGTATGTATGTATGTATGTATGTATGTATGTATGTATGTATGTATGTATGTCTATCTAATACTATATACATGGCGTGCATGCACGTGCGCGTGTATTACATGCGTGCACATATCCGCGCGCGCATGTGCACGCGCACGCACGCCGCGCGCGTGCGAAATTTGAAGGACCAAGGTGCATGGCGCGAAGTGCCACTGCAGTCTTGTATCTGTACACAAAGAAGTGTGTTTGGAATCGGTAGGACGCCCTGAACGACCTGCTGGGCGCGGACAGCCGCCTCGCGGTCAACTTTTTGTCGCAGACGCAGAGGCCCACCGCCGCCGCCCCGTCGATGGATGGTCCAGGACCGTTCGAGGGCCCAGGATCCATCGAGGGCCCAGGACAAATCAGAGGTGCAGGATCGCTTCATGATCCATGATCGAGGCCTCTGGAAGTGGTCCGCGCTTTCTGGGCCTCGGGGAGGCGCCTCGTGGCCACGGCTGGGATCTCCTCGAAATCCTGATCAGAACGCACATCTCCGGGCATGCCCGGGGTGTCGACGTTTCGTTCCCGGATCCCGTCCTTGCCGCTGCCGCTGCCCGCCGCGGCCGATCGAGGGTACAGGGTCGATGTGTACTGCTCTTCGTTCGGGGCCCAGGATCGATCGAGGGTCCAGGGTCGATCGAGGGTCCAGGGTCGATCGAGGGTCCATATCGACGGAGGATCCAGGATCGGTGGGAGAGCCGTTGTCGAGGTTTCCGGACGCGCTCCGCGCCGCCCTGGGGCCTCGGGGGAGCTTCTGAGGCCGCGGCCAGATCT